ACGACAGCCCTTTTTTAATATTTTCAACCTCATAAAAATTAATGACTGTCCTTTTCTACATATAGTCATTCAATAAGAAGTTTCTACGAAGTTGTTGGAATTTATTTTCCACAAGTCAAGTCGGGTTTACAAGGACTTTAAACAACTTGATTAAGGAGTTAATCGCGGGGCATTGTATGGTATGACCGTAACCCAATTTGAGAGGAAATTACTCGTGTTTTTTCACTATTAATTGACTTATAGGAGTAGAAATTTTTTCCACTACAACTTATATCATATTAGATACATATATAGAAATTTATAATATACATTAATCACTAAATTAAGTTACAAATGATCATATGACATCAATAAGAATATAGTGCTAACAATATTCTCTCTAACCGTTTCATTATTAGCCATATCGCAAATTATCATTAATTAATTAATTATATTAATTAATAATATGTACAATGTGACATGATTATTAAAAAAAATTGATCCTAGCACTATAGAAGTTTTGTTTCCAAACATCTATCTTATTATCGTGTCAATATTTTTGGCTGTATATATTATAAAAATTTGAAACCATGTGTTTTCTGATGTAAAGTGACATAACATTTGGAGTCCAAGACTTCTCTTTCTCTTTTTTGGGTTTTTATTTTTAAGTTTGAGTCATTTTTCTGGGGTTTGTTTTGTTTTTATTTTTATTTTTTGGATAAATTCGTTTTAAATTTAAATTTAGTTGCTTCTCTAATCTTGCTTTTCCACCTGGATTTGCTGTAAAATCAATTCCATGTCATCTAATGTCTGCCTTAGCAGCCAAAACTCTATTTTTTATTTATACTGCTTTCTTCTTCTTTTAAAATTTCTTACTATTTTATTGTGATTCGTTAGGGATTGCTATGGGTTAAAACGAGAAGCTGACTTGTCCATATAGATTGGAGCAATGATATTTGGAAATACACTATATAATATATATATATATATATATACACACCATACTTTCAATATTTAATGGTCATATTAAATTTTAGTTAATTCAAAATCGAACCATAACAAAGTTTATGAAAAAAAACTCTTTTAACATATATTTATTTATCTATAAAACATAAATTTAAAATCTTGTTTAATAATAAACTTAACCTTCTCTATTTGAATTAACAAATCATTAATGAAATACACAATGTTCTAATTCTAATTAAGTTCATTTTACCTAGTTTAGTAAAAACAAGTCGTTAATATTGTAATTAAGAAATTCATAAAAAATTATCTCTTCCCTACATTCTCTCTAAAACCAAAAAAATAATAATAATAATTAGTAACCACGTTAACTTTACGATGAAAAATAATTTTTAGATAATTTTTTTGTATTATTTTTTGGTATAATTTAGTATGTTATTTAAATAATTAATTCTTTTAATTTATGTAAAATTTATGATATTAAATAAAATCACTTATTTAATTATACATAAAAATTATATAAAAAATAATATAAAAAAATTATCCCCCGACGCTTTTATGATTTAGGTCGATAAAAATTGATTTAATTGAATATTGTCAACAGCATACCCACAAATAAACGCTAATTATTGCACTGAAAATTGCATCGAACCATCTTCATCATTGAAATAGGTGCGTCCCACACACGATCATTTGGGACCCCCACACAGTCAACGGTGAAGATGGTTCGAAACCCATTTTCTTGCTCAGTAAGCTATCATTATATAATAACGAACCCACTCAAAGCAAGTGGCAATGGCTTGCACCATGTTCCCGGGAGGTCTACTCGGGTTCGAATCTTGGGGAGCCTCCTTGGTGCTCTCTCTTCCCCTCCTCTACCCTATTTTAGTATCAAATAATAATGATGATAATGATAATGATAATAATGATGATAATGATAATAATAATAATGAACAAAACACCGTAATAATTGATACATAGGTTTTTTTTTTGGTACGTGAAATAAGGGTTAAATTCATCTTTACGTATCTTAGAATTTATATTTGAAAGACAGAGAAGTTAGGGAAAAATTTTTTGTAGTTGCTTTATCATTTTTTTGTAAAAAAAATTAAATGAAGGTAAAATTTTAAATTTTGTATAAATGAAAATATTCTAATTAAATTTTTTATAAGTGTATTAGAATTTTTAAAAGATCTATAATATTTTTTTAACAAATATTAAAATATTAAGTATTCATTAATTTAAA